CCCCGGGCCAGTCACCTGCCCTCTCTGAGCCTCACTTCTCTCCTTGGGAAAATAGAGGTAGCATGCAAAGAACTCAGCATGGTAGCAGGTACTCAGCAGGCCCTGGATAGACGGGCCGTGGTCCTGTTTGTAGTCATCATCACCGTCCCTGTCTCTGCCGACCTTCTATCCACAGATGTAAGTACAGACTGGACATTTTCTTGTTGTCTAGACATTTTTTGGGTAGAAAAGATAGGGAACTGTTGACAGGCCTCTAGCTCTGCTCCAGCCTGGGGCGATTTGCCTCCCTGAGGACACTCGGCACGCCTAGAGACCTGGGGGTGCTCTGGCAGCTCGTGGGCAGAGGTGGGGGATCCTGCCTTTCCCAGGGTGGACCCCACAGCACAGAATTACGAAATGTTGGGGAGCCTGAGTGGCTCAGTGGGTTAAAGCCTCTGCCTTCAGCTCAGGTCATGATCCCAAGGTCCTGGGATTGAGCCCCACATCGGGCTCTCTGCTCAGCAGGGAGCCTGCTTCCTCCTCTCTCTCTCTCTGCCTGCCTCTCTGCCTACTTGTGATCTCTGTCTGTCAAATAAATAAATAAAATCTTAAAAAAAAAAAAAAAGAATTCCATACAGGCTTCTTTAAAAAAAAAAAAAAATTACGAAATGTGAACGGGGCCATGGCCCAGGAACCCTGCCACCCTCTGGAGGTTTGTCGTACCTCTTGGGCTCACAACGTCAACAAGGAGAAAGAGGGGTGAGCACAGTCCTGGCCCAGCAGGGCTGTGGACCCCCAGAGCATCTCCAGGAATATTCCTTACCTCCTGGGAGGTTTGGCTGCCGTGAGCAGTCTCAAGGTGGAAGATCCGAGTTTGAGCCTCAGCTCCTGCCCTCTCTTGCTGTGAGACTTTGGGCAAGTCACTTAACCTCTCTGAGCCTGTTGTCTGTCAGCAAAATGGCCATAAAACAACCTTCCTTGTGTTAAGAGCAACCATGTGGAAGCCCAGTGCCTAGCGCTGTGTCGCCATCTCCTTAAACTGTCGTTCACTCCCCGTCCTGACTAGCGTGTCAAGGGAGAATTCTTTCCCTCCAACCTATTCCCTTAGGGGCATCAACTTTTTAAGCTTTTAACCTTTCTCCCCCTTGGGGTCAGTGGGACACATGGAGGCTTACATAAGCCTTGAGGTGGAGTTTGAGGACTCTTGGGAGCTGGCCGTTGGCTCGCAAGGGCGAGACCCAGGGGCGAATGGAAGCCGCGGGTCACATTCCAGCTCTCGGTCAGTCTCTGCCACAACGCCCACAGGTCGTCTTCCTGTCGACTCCTGGCACGGCCTGTGCTGCCCTTTTGGCACCAGGCACAAATCTGCCTTGTGACTGCTTTCATCTGGGATTTCTATTTATATCTCTTGGTACAGGGAACTTATCAGGCTTGCGTCTAGGCTGGAAGCTCTTTGGGGGCACCTCTCGTTAGAATGTGGGCCCAAAAATCAGAAATAAAGGATGTTCAAGCCAGAATTTGACAGGGCAGGTCATTAAGACTTGATAGATGTGGTGGACCTGAAACTGGGCTTCCGGATGCAAAGGCCCCTGCTTTTTCCAAAGGACTTCACTATGACATTGATCAGGCCGCTCAGTCATCAGTGCTGGGCTAGGCAGGGTTGGGGGGGCAGTGATCCCCACTCAGTATTGACTGGAGGAAAGAATCTTTTTTTTTTTTTTTTAAAGATTTTTATTTATTTATTTGACAGACAGAGATCACAAGCAGACAGAGAGAGGAAGGGAAGTGGCTTCCCACTGAGCAGATTGGCGGATGCGGGGCTCGATCCCAGGACCCTGGGATCATGACCTGAGCTGAAGGCAGAGGCTTTAACCCACTGAGCCACCCAGGCGCCCCTGGAGGAAAGAATCTTAAAGGAAACAATTCCAGGGGCGCCTGGGTGGCTCAGTCAATTAAGCATCTGCCTTCGGTTCAGGTCATAATCTGGGGTCCTGGAATCGAGCCCCACATTGGGCTCCCTGTGAGAAGCCTGCTTCTCCCTCTGCCTCTGCCCCTGACCTCCCCCCCCACCCCCGCAACACTCACTTGCTCTCTCCCTCTGTCTCTCTCAAATTAAATCTTTTTTAAAAAAGAAAACAATTCCATTCCAATTATGTATCTATGGCATGCTCTTGCCCTCTCCATCCAGCAAGCCCAGCGAGCCCCGCGAGCCCCATGTTCTACCAGTCCCATGAGGATTTTTGCCTTCCTGGCAGAGGTTTTACTATTCCTCAGTGGAAATGGAAGAGAAGGTTGAACCCTCCAGAAATTCTAGTGAATCCCTCTTCAAATCCCCTCCTTGGGACGTAGCTTCATGGTCTGATTCTCTGACCTCCCTGTTCATATAGAGTTTGACCATATCAGCAAACACTTGACCAGGTAGAGAACTGGGAACTCAAGGTCCAAGGAGAGCAGGGAGAGCACAGACTGAGGACAGAAAAGAAAGGAGAAGAGGGGCTAGGAACTGACCTTGACCATTCACCCACCATCCACCATCCACCAGGCACCATGCTGGGTAATTATAGCTCCCTGATTGTCACAACCTTACAAGATAGCGCGCGTTATCCTTACAAATGAAAACACTGAAGCCTAAAAAGTGCCTCATCTCCTAGAGCTAGCTGGTCAGAGATGAGGTCAAGATCAAAACCCAGGTCTCCCTGACCGCAGAGCCCTCGCTGGGTCATGACCTCCTAGATGGTGTGCTCTGTCACAACACTGCCAGGAGGTCTTGAGATCCACCCAGGAGGAGCTGGACTTTCTCTCCTGAGGGCCCATACCAATGAGGTCAAGGCTAACAGGGGCCAGTGCAAAGTCTTACACTTAAGTTCAAAATGACATTTGCACAGGAGTGTAATGGAGACCTGGTTACTGGGCGGCAGCTGATCGTAATATTGTCCCGTCATAACGCGGCTGCTGTTGCCTTGTATTTCCAAAGCACTTTGAGGTTTAGAAAGCCCTTCTACTTACCGAACTCAGAGCTTTGATGGACCATAAACAAGCATGAGAGTAAGTCTGGAAAAGGTTTGGGAGTATACCAATAGGGTGTGTATGCTGCGACAGCCTGTAAGGGTAAAGAGCTGTTTGTTTGCATTAATCCAGTGTAATATCAGTAGACTTTGGGCTCAGCCACTGTGCTAAATGTATTACGCGTTCGATCTCTGTTAATTCTCACAACAACCCATGTTGCACAGATCAGAAACCAAGAGGGGAAGAAAGTCCGACAAAGGTCACAGAGCTAGAATTCAGGTTTAGGTCTGAGAAGTATCAAGACAAACGTCCTTCTGGACATTTCAGACCCCCCCCCCAGAGATAGGGGTCCCATTTGGGGTGCTGTATTTAAGGGGGACGTTAACACACAGAGTAATGATCTCACGAAAAACACGATCATTGTAAAGATTGTTTGAAGGAGCTTAGTATATTTGTCCTGGGGGAAAAATGATCAGAGAACATATCATTGCTGTTTTCATGGGCGTAAAGCTCCTTTCTTTAGAAATAGGTTGGGTTCCCAGGACGTGTACCAACCTTTTGTTGGTTAGTGTAAACGGGATAAACTGTAGCCGGCTGCTGGCGCCACCTACTGGTGGGAGGTAAAATTGATGGGCTGATTGGGTCCGCCGTCGCTGTTCATCCCTGAAGTTTGGTTTCACCTTTCTTACACTGAAGTGCTCAAATCTGGCGGGTTGTGCATAAGAGGCAGCACATGTACCTTTATGGCAAGAGAATTAGGACCAATGGGTGAAAATTATAAGGAAGGATATTTTGGTTTTAACGTGAAGTTTAGTTTTCTGAAAAAAACATCTCCAAAACTCTAGGGGCTGATTGGGAGTAGTGAGGTTCATGTTTGTGGGAGAAACCAATTCATGCTGAATCTCCCAAGGTTTGGGCAATGGGGAGAAATCAATCCTAGTGTTTTGGTGGGTCTGGGGTCTTCATGGGTTACCTACTCTGAGTTACAGTTGGCCGTTTGAGTGGGGGTCTGCCAGTGTTGGTAGCATCTTTGTTGTCTTATCCAGGGAGGAACTTTTAGGGTTCCCAGGGGACCGAGCAGTGGGGGAGATACTTGGAACGGGTGAGATCTGGGAATGTTTATCTTCCTGATACGGCTTGAACATTTGACCAAGGGATAGGCAGAGAGGAGTGACTCAGAGGGTAAATGGTCCTGACCTTCCATCACTTCCCAGTCTGACCTCCCACACAGGACCATTTGTAAACAACCCAGGGGAACAACAGTTCCTTGTAGACTCTGTAAATGCGATTAAGGCTGTGCTGCAGACAGAGGTTCAGAGTGTGGCTGAGAGCAGGGACCAGTCAGACAGGACCGGTCACGGGTCTGGGGCAGAGCTGAGCCCTAGCCTGTGTGGGTTTTCTCATCAAAGCTTTGCGGATTCAGGGCCTGGGTGCCAGGCCATTTGTGTCTTGCACATTCTCCGGGAGGCGGTCCAGTGAGGATATGCGGAGAAGGGGCCACAGGGTAGGACAGACCCTGGCACAAATCCTAGCATGACACCCGGTTAGCCTTGTGAGTCTAGGTTGATTACTTCTGTACTGTGAGCCTCAGCTTTTTCATCTGTAGAAGGGGCAGTGATTCCACCTTCCTTACCCGAGAGGTATGAGGATTTAATGAGACCTCCTTCATAGAGCACTGAGCACCATGTTGGTGCATAATTTATTATTATTATTTTATTATTAAATTAACCTCTGTTAGTGAAAACCATTCCCACTCTCCCTGCCCCCTCCTTGCTTTTCTGTGGCCATGGATCTGGTCACAGACACATTGGTGCTGAAAAGCCCTCGCTGGGCCTCACTTGGTTAACAGGAATGGCTGGGTCCCACACATGAAAACACCCACAGCCTTGGCCATCAATGTCCCACCGCCCTCCCTCCCACCTTCCCTGATGGGGCAGGAACAGAGATGTAATTGAGAGCCGTGAGGCCTGACATAAGGCAAGATATACTCTGAGATGACTCACTGTTCCCTCAGAAAGAATAGCCTGCCCGTCCGAAAGGAGGTCTGCACCCAGAACTAGGCCCCCTCGAGGTCACCTTGAAGGGTCTGCGGAGGAATCTGTGTCCTGGTGGCCTTGGGCAGCTGCGTTACTGGTCAGTGTGTGTGTGTGTGTGTGTGTGTGTGCGCACACGTGCATGTTTCCATAGTAACCTGTCAGGAGCCCCTCTAGACACACAGGTACGAGCAGCAGATTGGTGAGGTGGGGATCCTACAGGCTTTGAAGTTTGCAGGCCCAGGTACATAGGCCAGCTCTGCATCTTCCAGACTGTGTAAGCGGGGGGAGAGAGCTTTAGAGCCCCAAACCTTGGGGTCCTCCTCTGATCCAGGGGAGGGGAAACCCTATTTTACATGGCCTTTGCTAATTAAATCAAAGCATGGATTAAAAAAGAAAATGTCTGGCCCAAGGTCTTGGCACGTAGTGGGCACTTGGGTGATGGCGTCTGTCATTTTTGTGCGTCCAAAGGACGCATGTCCAAAGGAGATGTGTCCCCAGGCAGGGTTTAGCCTTATCAGTGACGATGCCATGCCTCTCTCACTAAGTGACCCTGGATCAGTGGCTATTTGTCTCTCTTTTTCTGTTTTTAATAGGAATTATAAGAAAACAGTATTGGTGGGTCTTCTCAGATTGATATTGGTGTGGGTAGAAGCAGACGGTTTAGGCAAATGCATCATAAAACTCTTTATGATCGGATGGGGGAATGGTGGGCAGTGGGGGGCAGGTGCCTCTCCTTCTTGGGAGTAGCAGTGGGGGCAGGGGTTGGGGGAGACTTTCATTCCATATTCTCATATGGGTCCTAATTTATTTTATAGATTTTTTTCCTTGTTTTGAGCTCCAGAGAGCCACCTGGCTCTGAGTTAGCAAATATTTGCTATTATCCCCACCCCCACCCCCAAAATACTCAGAGCTGCCATTTATCGAGCACTGAAAGCACTTTCCATACTTAACCTTGAACCCTCAGCTCCCTTGGGAAAAGCCACCTCATTTTACAAACGAGCAAACCAAGCTAGGAGAAGTTCAGCCACTTGCTTCAGTACTTCTCCTGGCAAAGGTGAGAGGAACCAGACAGTTTATCTGGGAGAAGTAGGAGGAGGATACGAAAAAGACCCCAAACAGCCTCTACCCTCAAGGACCTGACAGTGAACATGGGAGGTTAAATACCAGACAGAGCAACCAAGACACATTCTGTGGTCATGTTTCTTTGTGGAGCTCTGCTGTGGGAGCGGAGGACCGAAGGCTGATTCTGCCTAGGGGATGGGGGAGCCTTCCCAGGCGTGGCTGGGCTCAGTCCTAAAGGATATGTTCATTTTGGAGAGGCAGCCACCAGGGGAACATGGCCAGTGGGCCTGTTGAAGGAGGTCAGGAGACAGGAAGCCCAGCGAGGAGGAAAGGTTGACCAGTACAAAGAGTCAGGCAAAGCTACACAGGGCTCCTTGGGAGAGCCCAGGTCGTGGGAGTCCTGAGGATCTAGTCTTTGGGAGGAAGGGACAGACAAGAACTATGGGTTTTTAAGTAGTGCCCCGTGGCTTAAAGGAGGGCAAAGAAAGTGAAGGCAGAGAGGGCCATTCTGAGGCTGAGGCCCCCATGGGGTGGAACAGGCCACAGCCACCAGAGGCCCCAGCCTGATGACCTGCCTCCAGTTCAGGTGCGCTGACCCATTTCCATCAGGAGCTGGGGGAGTGGGGAGCTGCGGCCAGGAGGTGAGAACTCTCAGGAGATGTCCACTGTGGGAAGGGGGGTGGTTGGGCGGGGACGGAGCCTGGGCAGCAAGGCCCAGGAATGCCGGGGGATGGAGTGGTCCCTTGTCAGGGCAGTTTGGCAGAGGTTGGTGTGAGGAGCAGAGAGACTAGAGAGGCTGGAAACAGCCAGTGAAGGGTTTTCGCTGCCAGCTGTTCAAGTGTGGGCACTGGGAGACGATTATTGTTTTTTTGAGCCTGAGAACGCTCTGTCTCTCTCTCACTAAAATGTGAGCGTCTGGAGGCAAGGAGTCTACCTGGCGTTTCACCAGTGTGTTCCCAGCTCCTAGCACAGCGGCCGTCACTTAGTAGGTGCTCAGTTAGTACTTCTTTAGTAAATATGTAGAACCACAATCTGTATATGCGGACGTGGTAAACATTTTAAAACTTGGATAAGAAGAATACACACTAATGGTCAAGGTCGTGGTTACTTTGGGGGGAGGGAGGAAATGAGGTAGGAGTAGAAAAAGGATTTCAGCGGAGTCTCGCTTTTCTTCCTTAATGAAGAACTGAAGAGAGTATGATCGTGAACATTCGTTCAGTCTGAGTGCTGGGTACATGCGCCCCTATGACATTATTATTTATAATTTTAAAATATTTATTTTAAGAAGAAAACGAATTGGGCAACTGGGTGGCTCAGTTGGTTGAGCATCTGCCTTCACATCAGGTCATGATCCCAGGGTCCTAGGATCGAGCCCCATGTCGGGCTCCCTGCTTGGGGCGGGGGTGGGGGGGGGAGTCTGCTTTCCCTCTCTCTCTCTACCCCTCCCCCTGTTTGTGTACGCTCTCTCTCTCAAATAAATATATAAAATCTTTTTTAAAAAATGAAAAAAAGCAAATTGGTGTACAAATATTGTGTTAGGTGTAAAGAATATCTCTTCTCCAGAAGATGGAGTGACCGCCATGAAGCCCATGGCTTCTTAGCGTGACAAATAGGCCTGGATAATTCTTTCCTTGGTGGCGATCCTTCACAGGTCTCCAGACTATGAGCAGCTACAGTGAAGTAGGAAACCCTCGTTCGTGTCCCTCCTCTTCTCGATGCCTGTCATTCAGAGCACGTGTGGATGCTACCATAGGCTCAGAATACACTTCTCGGGAGGATCTCAATACTCATTCCTGGGGGCGTGACGTTGCATGAATGGCGTCCCTCCTGGCTCACTCCTTAAGTGTAAGATCTCCGGCTTGTGAATTTGGATTCTTGCCGCCATCAGGGAAAGAAGCTATACTGTGCCCTCAGAGAGTCTGTTTGGGTCCAAGCTCTGTGTCTTCCTTGCTGTGTGACTTTTGTCCCTTCACTCAACCACTCTGAGCCTCAGTTTGCTCAGCAGCAAAAGGTGATGATTGAGAAGATGATTAACGAGTGAGCTGATACAGGTGTGAAACCTGTGACAGGGCCCAGTGCCTGGCGGGCGCTCAGCACACATGGCCTGTCCTCCCGCTGAAGGCTGTGTGCAGCCTGGCCTTTGTTGTCCTGCCATCCCAAGCCATGTCTGTCCCTCAAGGCCCATGCAAATTTAGCTTTTCCTTGAAACCATTCTTCACAGCCAGGGATGGCTCATGTCCCTGACTGCTTGGTAGCATAGTTAAATTTTCCATCTGCTTGCTTATTGGTTTATTTATGTTGGCCTCCCTAGATTGCAAAGCTTCTGAAAGCAGGAGCATCGTTTCGGGCATCGTTACGAGATGCTGACCGCCTCACCCCGTGTCCTGGGTCAAATGCAAACTTGGGGCTCCATGAAGCCTTGGGGACTTCACTTTCATCAGGAAAATGACAATCATAGCCTCCCTCACACAGTTTCTAGAAGATAACTGTTTAGACATTCTGGGTACAACCTCATTAGGAAAAATTTAATAAATATTGTTGAATTAATTTAAACTGCCATGAACGATGACGTTCTTTACAAATGTCGGACATAATTTTTAATTCTCCACAGTAGACAGTGAAAGGCCTCATATTTGCTTGCTGCTAAGAGAAACCGTCTGCTTGACTCTTCTCTGGTCATCCAGGTGAGGACCAAAGGAGGCATCACACAGGCATTATAAAGCTCACCCTGGTGTTAAATGAAATTTTATCTTTGTTCTTCCCAGGATCGAGATGACCACAGCCACCCCTTTGGGGGGTACTACCTTCTTCTCCTTGAATGTGACCACCAGAGAAGAAGACTTTCTGTACAAGAGTAAGGTCAATTTGGCTTGGCAGCCAGGGGAGGGATGGCGGGATGAGGACTGTGGTCAGCTCCTGGTGTTGAGCTCAAGAGCGTGGGTTCCAGAGATGGACTACCTGGGTCCCAGTGGCACTTCTGCCGTATGCCCACCATGACCGTGAACACGTGACCTCATAGCTTTGTGTCTGTTTCCTCGTCTGTAAGATGGGGATATGAATGAAGCTACTCTTAGCATCACACACATGAATGGTGTGAAGACTAAACCAGATGATCCACGTAAGGAGCTTAGAATAGCCTCGAGTCACACAAACTACCTAATGAGTAGTATTGTGATCATTACTGCTGTGACTGCTATTGCCATCAGGGAGTTTGGGGGTCTGGAGGGCAACGGACATTGACTCTCCTGTAAGAGGTCCCTCAATGAGTCACCTTAAAATGTAACTACTTTCATACTCTTCATACTGTTTTTACAAGGCAAAACCCATCGATTGACAAAGGAATAAATGAGTGGGGGTGGGAGTAGTCCCGGGGAGACATTTGGCAGGAACAAGGGATGCCCGGAAGGAAAAACTTAACAACCACTCTCCAGAATACCAGTTAATCATATGAGGGGAAGTTGGGACTATTTCCGTCTTTTCTGTTGGTCTAGCACGTACCCCCCGCACGTGGAACAGGCTTCCCAACACACGTGGAGTGTTTCCCCAGTGATGACAGCTCCAGACCGTGGTCCTGGCAGGAAACCGATTCCTGGCAGGATGTGGGTCTTCCATAGAGACCCAGAAAGGGTCATTCTTGGGACAGGGTCCCACGTGTCTGCCTGCTCCTTGCCAGGTGGGGACACCTACAGAGAGAGGCCTGTCGACGTAGCTCAAAACAGTTCTGAAAGGAGATGCAGGGTAGATCGAATCTCCAGCAGCAAGATGGGAATGATTCTGCTCTTACTTAACTAAAAGCAGTGGTTCTCAACTAGATGATTCTGCCCCCTTGATGAGATGGCCAGAGTTCAAAAATAAGATACAGAACACCCGGTTACATTTGAATTGAAGAGTAACTGTATTTGTGCACTATAAGGACATGCCATGCAATAGGTGAGACATCGCAAAAATTACTCATTATTTATCAGAAATTCTAATTTAAATAAGTATCTGGTACTTTATCCGGCCACTTTACTATCAGTGGACATTTGACAACGTTTGGACACTTTTGCTTGTCACAGCTGGTGGGGGAGGAAGAAGCAGTATTAATGACATTAGTGAGTGGAGGCCGGAGAGAACATTGTACAGGGCACGGGAGGTTCCCCTCAGCAAGGGGTTATGCAGGCGACGTTGAAAAACCATGGATTAAAGTATCATCATAGAACTCACCAGAAAAGAGACAAAAAATTACTCCACAATGGAATCCCCACCCCACTCCTTTTCTTTATTTCCAGTCTTTCTTCCTGTGAATATTTGGACATAGTATTGTTTTTTGTTTTTATTTAGTAAACCTTTTCGTAAGAGCATTACATACCTTTAAAAAAAAACAAAAAAGCACAAATCCTAAGTGCACAGCTGGGTGAATTTTCACAAAATGAACACAGTTGGGTCACCAGCCTGCAGATCAAGAAGAGGACCATCCATCACCAGGATCCCAGGCGTCCCAGTGCCCCTTGCCACCCTGTCCCCACCTGGTCAAGGGAACCCGCTGTTCTGACTTCACCCACTGGCCATTAGTTCTTCCTGGTTTGGAGCTTTATGGAAATGGAAGTATACCATTTTTCTGGCTGCTTTTACTCGTCATTATGTTTTTATGTACATATTTTAATGGTTGCAACATAATGTGTATATGTGGGTGTGTACAAAATACCATATACTCTTCTCCACATGTCATTCAGATTATAGTATAATACATCATGAGCTAGGCATGGCATACCTTATTGAATCATTCCCGTGTTTAGAATATAAATGATGTAATTAGCATACTGATTCATGCAGCTTTTTCTGTATATAGGATTCTTCCCTAAGATAAACTCCCCAGAATCAAATAGATTGGCTTAAAATGTGCCCCCCGACCCTTTATGGGGTTTATTTATTTATTTATTTATTTTTGTATTTTCAGTTTCAGTTCACACAGGGACGTTGATTCTGAACGTGAAATGAGAGGTGGCCATGGGAACTGGTTGCTGATACTGAAATTAGATGCTATTAAGCCACAAGGACATTCATTAGAGCCTTGTTTTTCATGGTATAAAATTGAAAACAACATAAATATCCTCAGTACGGCATTGGTAAACAAATTATGGCACATCCAAACAATGGAGGTCTACACAGCCATCAAAATCATGAAAAACAGTGTAATTACACGGAAAGATGATTAGGATATGGTTGTAAAACTGTGTACGGAACATGGTTCCATGTTTATCAAGTGCTATTTTTCCACTTTTATTTCCTTGAGGGGGGTTTTCAGAGAGGATTAATCAATTACTCAAAAAATGTTGGGTAGGTATTTAATATGCGTACCTGCATATACGTGATGGCATTGGTGTGTGTATGCATGTGTAGGTGATCAGTGGTTCCTGGGGCAATGAGTTCCCTTTTTGGCTTGTATTTTTAGTTTCAAAATTAACTACAGAAATAATGCTTTTGTATTATCAAAAAGAGGGAAGGGTGTTTTGCTTGCCTATTTCACAAAGGAAGTTGGATGCTATGTTAGGACTGACGACAACAGGATGGCTCGAGATAGGATTTTGGCAGCTGAAGCTCCCTGGGGGGAGGGGTACACTGCTGCTCTGAGTACGTCTCTGCCCTGGGGTCAGTAGTCGGGGTGCCAGGACAGCACATTCTCTCCCTGCCTGATCCAGTGAGGATGTGTGGTGCCGAGTGGAGGTCCCCCTCTTAGTCTCTGGATGCTTCCCTTTTTTCAGGTTGCACATTTGCCATTTCCACGTTTCTCCTCTTAGGTTCTGGAGCCATTGTTGCTGCCATTGTGGTAGTTGTCATCATCATCTTCACTGTGGTTCTGATCCTGCTGAAGATGTACAACAGGTATACGATGCCCTGGGCTCTGACGGTCTTGTCCCTTCCGTGATGTCAGAGTGAATGGGAGCTAACGCTTGTGGGTGCCAGCTGTGTGCCACGCAGTACCCATGAGTCCTTCGTCAAATGCTCTAACCCTTTGTGGACCCTTTTTTGACATCTGTTCTCCTGTAGGAACTTCATGGTTACCAAATATTTTGGTACCTGCAGAAATATTTGTTAAATATAATAATCATCATGACAATGCTAATGGCCTTGAGCACTGCAGTAAGGTAACTTACAGTAATAGAATAATATGATTCAGTCTTTTTCTCTCAGAGAGCCCTCTGCTAGGTTGTGTTGAGCAGACCACGTGAGTATTTAAGGTGACAAATACTGGAATGCCTGTCCCCCCAGCTCCACTTTCTGGGACCCAATAGGAGGAAAGAACATCATGTGATTGCCCAAAGACTAAATGTTGTGTAATCACCTTTAAGTCCCAGTTTGGCTAGAAGGTTATTTTTCCCAGGCAAGAAATCAAAATAGACTATAAACACAACCACATCATAGAAGACTTGGAAGCCATTAAAAAAAAAAAAAAAGATACTGTAGAGTGTGTTTATTGATGAGGAAAGCTATTTACAATATATTGGCAAAGTTTACAAAGATAATATGTACGTTATAGTTATACATGTGGGTTACACGCACAAAGCCAAGGAGGATTCAAATTCTTCAGGGCCAGGTGTTAATATCCAGTGTGTCCGCATGATGGGATTGCTGGTTGGCTGGTTTCTGCAGGGGACGGGGTACACGTCTTTATTTTGAGGAGGTGCCAACATATTATTTATATGTTATTTATAAAATACATGTTTTATATATTATATGTGTATAAAATGTATATATTATGTATGCATATATGGTATACATGTATTGATCTCTTACGATGTGCGAGGCATGATTCTATACGCCCTGTATGTATTAACTCATTGGATCCTCACTGCAACCCTACCAGGTGGGTAATTCTATGTCCCCCAATTTTGTAAGTGTGAAACATGCACTGGGAAATGAGCCAACAAGCCGAAGTTTACTCAGCCTCACTGGCAGAGTTGGGATTTTTTTCCTAAAGATTTTATTTATTTATTCGACAGAGAGAGATCACAAGTAGGCAGAGAGGCAGGCAGAGAGAGAGAGGAGGAAGCAGGCTCCCCACCAAGGAGAGAGCCCGATGCGGGGCTTGATCCCAGGACCCTGGGATCATGACCTGAGCTGAATGCAGAGGCCTTAACTCACTGAGCCACCCATGTGCCCCTGGGATTTTGTTTTTTAAGATTTTATTTATTTATTTATTTATTTATTTATTTATTTATTTGAGAGAGAGAGAATGAGAGAGCATGAGAGGGGGAAGAGTCAGAGGGAGAAGCAGACTCCCCGCTGACCTGGGTGCCAGATGTGGGACTCGATCCCAGGACTCCAGGATCATGATCTGAGCCGAAGGCAGCTGCTTAACCAACTGAGCCCCCCAGATGCCCCAGAGTTGGGATTTTAAACCCAGTACATGTGGTTTCAAAGAAAATACTCCCACCGCTATATGTAATAATAATAATAACAATACTTAATAAGTTATTTTTAAAATTTTGAGGGTATTACAGTTTGGATCCATCGCAGACCAGGAAGTGGCATCCAACCACAGTGTCTGCCTTTCATTCCTGGCCATCACTGCTGGAGCTCTGAGCCCCTTTCCTGGTTGTAATTTGGGGAGAGATCTACCCACCCCACCCTGTTTACAATGATGCTGGGGCTGCAACTCAAAGACTGGAGCTCAGTCTTTGGTCTCTCAAAGGCAGGCAAGTCATTTAACCTCCCTGAGCTTTGATCGTGTCATCTTTAAAATGGAAGCCTCTCCAAGTGGGAGAGCTGAGTATCGGTTACGTGGAGCATGCCTTTGTTTTGAGAAGTATTTAGGGGCGATGTGGCATGACATCTGCAACGGACTCAAATAGTTCAGGATTTTAAAAAACTCTCTTGTGTATATATGTGTGTCCACATGCGTAAATGAACCGAGAGAGACAAAGAGGCAAATGTGGCAAACTGCTGGTAATCAGTGAATTGTTTCATGAAGGGTACTCAGGTATGAACTGTACTATTTGTGCAACTTTCCTGAGCATTTGAAATTAAAAAAAAAAAAAAAAAGTTAGGTTGTTAGGTCATCTTATTAGGTCAACAATTTCATGTAGACGTTTGAATTAATGATTGTTGTAGTCATTGAATTTTCTGACATATGAAATGAAAGATTGGATATACATTTTAAGTCCATTCTCTTCTCAATTATGCAAAAAGTTCTTAAATATTTCTAGCAATCGACTTGGCAAATGTAATGTAACTGCAAAATTTAACTCACGCCACAACTTGGAATAGAAAAAAAATCATAGTATTTTCATTTTGTCTTTAATATAGTCTTAATATAGGACACTTTACTCATTCTTTAACAGGAGAAAAAGCATTTCCAATATCTAATCTAAGTTACGCACAAAAATGGAAGGGTCAGGCTAGCTGATGTCTAAGGCCCCTTCTGGTTAGTTGTACAATTCTGTGGTTGGCAATCAAGCAACGTGATTTAATGATGATCTACGTTAATGTCCTTGCCAGAATCAAAATCACAGGGTATAGGAGATGAAAGACTAAAGCATGCATGCGTATCTCATTCCAGGAAGATGAGGACCAGGCGGGAGCTGGAGCCCAAGGGGCCCAAGCCAGCCTCCCCATCTGCCTTGGGCTCAAACAACAACAGCAGCCAACACCCTCCTACTGTGACCTTCAGTCCCGTTGACGTCCATGTGGAGACTCGATGACCGCCCCCCACCACCTTGGTGCTATCTTGGCCACCATCCAAAGAGCCTTCTCCATTCAAGACTCAGAAGCACATTTCTCCTCCGGCAGCTTCACTGGGTTCCTTCCTGTTCCTGTTGGGTCGACAAGGGGCATCTCACGCAAGTCCAGATGCTCAGGCAGCCCCCCAACCCCACCCTGCCCCACCCTAGCTGCTCCACCTCCCTGCTGCCACCCAAAACATTCTTTTGTGCTCTGATGAGGAACGGCTGTGCTGGGAATCCACTGCAGTGGGTGTAGCTGTCTTCCCCACCATTGCTAGACAGACAGCCCAGGGGTCTTCTGGTCTAGAGTCAGGGGTCCGAGCATGCTCCCGAGTATATTACCAAAGGGTCTGCTCCTGGGGTCCAGTCATAATAAGTGCTGTAGCCACAGCTTTGCAGAGCAAAATATTCCATGCCATTCATCAGGCACAGGGGAACTAACCTGGGCTAACTAACCAAAAAACTAACTTGTTAATCTATAACTTGCTCCAGTACTAGATGCCTGCTAGCTAGCTCATGGCAGCCAGTTAGCTGAATTCTCCGTCTTTAAGAAAAGTTATGGGAAAGACAGTTCTTCTCGAAAGTTTTCTACTTAATCGTAGAGACTCAGAGAAGGAATAGGGTGACCTTGAGGAAAGATGGCCTCTAGGCCAAAAGCTTAGTATAGTGTCTGTGGGCCTGAATGAACCAGGAGCAGGTCAGAGCCTCTCCTCTCCCTTTGGGGCTGGACTAAGCCTGACTCCGTCTCATTTCTTGGCTTCCCTCTGTTTGGATTCTGAGCAATCCTCACTCTCTCCGGTCATACCTTCCCTCCAACAACCAGTATTAGAGACTGATAAGATTACAACCCTGTTTATGTGACCTGTGTCCGTCCCAGTCACCTTCGAAGTCCCAAATTTGAAAAGTGTTTCGCTGTACAGAGCTGATCTCTTTGACTCTTAGCCCAGAGAACAATCTATTGAGAGGGAAAAGCATTTTGAAATTAAGGCTTGCCTTCCAAGCTCTACTTCCTGGTCATGTGGCCTTGAAAGAGTGACATGAGCGCTCCATATTGGGTTTGCTAACCATAAAACTCACAGACTGACTTTAATTAGTCAAGGACTTGGTGGAGGCTCTCAGGTGGTCCCTGGCACTCAGCAGACACTTAATAAATGAGAGCCGGCATTATTGTTACAGTATTTCTTCAATTGTAAGACATATTTGTTCACATGCTAATGATTCTGAAACCAGAATATGTCTTTAAATTGGGTCCATTAATGTAGTATTTTTTTCTCTCTCCATAAGCTGTTTTTTTATTCAGTTGTGCACCATACAGTTGAAGGCATCTTGGAAGCGAGGTAATAAATATTGAATCTGTTGCAGAAAGTGACACCATCTGACCTTTAACCTTAAATTCTAGGGGTCTCTTCCTCTTGGAGTCAGAAATCTCTTCTGAGGGGAAACTGAGGGTCAGGAATGTATGAAGGCTGACCCAGGGTCACGGAGTCACGTCATCCCACTATAAAAATGCTCGCTTGGATGTGTCCGGAAAAATACTGGCAAATTCTTCCTCCCCAAACATTTTTCCTCCCGACTGTGTTTAAATATCCACCAAGTACCAGGTACTTGGCAAGATGCTTTCACATAAATTATCCCATTGGATTTATTTTTTCCCAATAACCCTGGGAGGAATTATTTGTTCTGTTTGCAGGTGAGAATAGCAGACTCCAAGAGAAAGGTACTTGTCCCCAGTCAGACAGCTAGTTAAGTTGCGAAGATAAGATGCAAACCCACATCTTTGACTCCAAAGTCTCTCTCAGTTGCACCACTTTCTTCCCTAACATCCTGGCTCAAAGAACATGAATTCTTTTATGGGCCGAACAGGAGGAGGACAGGCTTGTCCATGTGTCTGAGCAGAGGTCAGGAGTCTGGCCTCCAAACTGACACTAGGAGCAAAGCCACTTTGGTAGCCTCCTTTGGGCTCCCAGGATTGGAGCCAAAGGACCCCTTTCTGAGCCCATCAAAGCTCTTAGGATTCCTGTTTCATATCCCATAACCCTTATACTAAAGGAGCAAGGGATGGAATGCCATCCAACCAGGGAAAGGCATTTCCTAAAGGACTCAAACCCCAAATAGATACTTTTTCCCAAAAGTGTTCTGCTTTAAAAAAAATTTTATTTGTTTGTTTGTTTGTTTGGAATGTTCCAGCCCTAAAAGCAAACTCTTCTGCCCATACTGGACTCTTCCTGGAATTACTAGAGGAATCATCCCTTGTTATATGTACTTTTGCTAAATGAAAGCTTGGAAGTGGTGGAGGGGGGAGAGGCTGGGAGGTAAGGGGAGGCCAAGAAAGGGGTTTTAATATTGTGCTTTTAACTAATGAAGATAACTCAATAAGCATCCTTTAAGGGTTCCTATGTGCAAGTTGAGGTGCTACTAAACACATTGTTCCGGTCCCCACTCTCAAGGAGTCTGCCGCCGGTCTCCTGGGACAGGTAGCTTGCAACACAGTGGAGTGTTTCATTTCTGTCAGGTGCCTCTCCTAACTGATGCCACCTTATTTGGCCGCTGAATCAATAAAAGATATTAAACATCTAAAGAAAAATGTCTAAAAATAAAGAGACTTAAATCAAACATTTGTTGAGTTGACGTCAGTCTATGTTAGAGTTAATGAATACCTCTTCTAAGAATTTCCTTTCTCTAACCATGTAAATAGGGTCCTGTGGGAAAGCCTGAGCGGTTGCAAATTGTACTCTTCCTGCTAACAGGTGATGGAGAAGCTGGGCTGCCAGCAACCAGCCTTTCCATGAGTGAGAAAACTTGTTAGCTTGATTAATTAATTAATTATTAGTTAGTTAATAATAGCTTGATTGTTACAAAAGGAATCCCATTTCAGAGCCTGCTGTTAAACACCAGATGCGCTGATACGTTGAGGTTTAGGGACCCCTGGGAGTAAAGTAGACCTTAGAATGCAACCCAAGTCATCAACGAAGGAGTTTACAGTTAACCGAGCTTCTGGTGTGTTCTAGGTACATGATGGGTCTTGGATACCTACCAGCTCCTCTAACCGTTACAACCCCCAAGTGTAGGAACCATCGCTATTTTTACTCTGGGGACACAGGAACGGGAAGGTCACATGTCCTTGGGTGATGCAATGGACAGGTGGCATTCTTGTGGTGACCATTTCTTGTGTTTGGGGAGTCTGCTACTTTAAGAAGCAAGACCACCTCCTACTGTCAATGCTGAAAAGGACAGTCATCTTCCTGGAGTCCCTTGCTGCTAGGGTGAGGGCCAGGGACAGAGGCCCTGCTGATCAGGTGCCCCCACAGTGGACTTTGAAGCCAGAAGTTGGCAACATCAAGGGACAGGGACCATGCAAAATACACTCTGGTGGCAGGTAGGTTGGCTTGCTGCCTTTCAAAAGTTAGCAACAGCAGCGGCTTGAACAGCATGACGGGCCCATTCTTGAGTCCAGCCCTGTAGCCGCGGAGTTGGCTATGTGAGCTTAGTTTGACAGGAACAGCCGTGGTGTCTACCAAATGGGCTCTTTAGTGTGATTTTAGGCCCCATACCTGACAGCATACCACTGAGACCAGTTTTAGCCTTCTGGAAATTCCAGCAACTACCTTGTTCCATTTTCTGCTTCAACCAGCAGTCACTTCCAGCTGCTAGTGTGGCTGCTAGTGTGGGGGCAGGGGACAGGCTGGCTCACGGCCACCCCCCTCAGAAGTGGCTGCACCAGAACCCAGGTCTCTGAAGCTCTCGCTCTTACACATGCTTCCAGTGGGCGCTAAGTGATCAAGGGATCCACGATGTGCTATGGAGTTGTGGAGAAGGTAGAGTTGCCTCCAATGACATGTATCTCAGAGACTTTGTTAAGGAGGAAGTGTTGGTTTTTTTTTTTTTTTTGAAAGATTTTGTTTATTTATTTGACAGAGATCACAAGTAGGCAGAAGCAGGGAGAGAGAGAGGGAGAAGCAGACTCCCCGCTCAGCAGAGAGCCCGATGCAGGGCTCGAGCCCAGGACCCTAAGACCATGACCCAAGCCAAAGCCAGAAGCTTAACCCACTGAGCCACCCAGGCACCCCTAGAAGGAAGTATTTCAAAAAAGGACCTGGAAGAATGGAGAGGATTTCTTTTTTTAAGTAAAGATTTTTTTTTTTTATTGAAATACAACACACACACACATACACACATACACACACGTATGTGTGCAGCTCGCAAGATGTTCACAAACCGAGCTCACTTGTGTAACCAGCATCCAGGAAGCTCCCATCCTCTGCCTACCTGCCTCATGTCCCACAAAAGTTAACCAGCATCCTGAATGCTACCCCCCTAGAACAATTTTGTCCAAAAGTAGAATCACAGCGTGAACCTTTGTTTCTGGCTTCATTCGCACAACATGGCATTTGTAACATTTGTTCATAGTGTCACATGGAGCTGAAGGTTGTTGGCGCTCACTGTGGTCACCTTCATTACGGGATGCATTTGGTTTATCCACTCTATTGTTCAGTGCACAGAAAAGTTGTTCCCAGTTTGGGTCTGTAACGAGGAGGGGTGCTAAGAACAGTTTTGGTCATGTACGTATTTCTGTGGGGAATATTTCCAGTTGAGTATTATACAGGGTAGAGGCATATTGAGCCTTTGTCAGCAGTGCCAAACAGAGTTGCACCAACTTACGTTCCCTCTCCCAGTAGCGTAGGGGAGTTCCTCTTCCTCCACATCCTTTGCTAACACTAGGATATTTTCAGAATCCTGAATTTCAGTCATTCCTATGTGCCCACAGTGGTGTCTCATGATGGTTTTAATTGAATTCCCTGATGATTGGTGGAACTGGATCTTTTCTTGTTTTTTTGTTTTGTTTTGTTTTTGTTTTTTAAAAAATATTTTAGGGGCGCCTGGGTGGCTCAGTGGGTTAAGCCGCTGCCTTCGGCTCAGGTCATGATCTCAGGGTCCTGGGATCGAGCCCCGCATCGGGCTCTCTGCTCAGCAGGGAGCCT